GTCCAGCTGTTCTACGGATCAAGCTCCAAATCTGATCTTGGGATGTCCAGCAAGAAGCGCTCCATTTTGGTGTTAAGATTGCAGAGCCCACTTCAGGAAACTGGGCTCGTGGCTCAGGTCATTCACTTCCAGCTTTTGCAGCAGACTCAAAGCCTCGTTTCTGGTCCGTCTCGTTTGCAGAATTCTGAGCAGTACAAAAACGACAGAAGACCAGGGACGACACCATCTGCCACATTCCTCAGCACAAAACCACAAAGCCACAGAAAGCCAACAATACAACGGCATGTTGGTATTGGTAAGTAGCAGATTCCGTAAGCTTCTGACATGTCATCCTTTGAATCAAATTCCTCGCATTCCTCTGAGATCTAGACTCCAAGGGCCTCCACCGTTGTAGGGTGTGTTGCTGCGCATCCTTTCAGAGTCCAAGGCCTTGTTGAGGGTCATGTGACTCACATCTATCTAACCACAAAACATCACAAAACACATCAACATCCCCAGCAGTAGTGACAAGCCACGCCCCTTCCCCCCCCGAAAGGTGGTTGTTTCAACGGGTGGACCTGGCACAGTCGAAAAGAGCAGGCTTTACAGGGAAAGTTACGAGGGTATGGCCGATATGGCCTCCTCATCAAAGGGTATGTGTGGATGTGCGCGTAAAGCACGAGCAGTGCTGCCATGGAGCAAGCTGAGGGTTCTTCAAAATGTCTACAATGGCTTTCTCTAGCGCAAATGCATTCTGAGAGCCAAACACCAATGATGACAGGATTCTCTGGAGGGTCCGGTGGAGGTGGATATCTCCGGTCGACCTAGAAGAAACATGGACCAAATCTTAAAAGAATACAACAGGTTCCTTCAAAGGACATAGCCCATCTGAATTATATACAGTGTCTGAGGTGTCACCGCATGATTTAGACTTTCCTGGTTGTTGATCTTCATATCACACGCTTCGAGGGCGGAGCTACCATCGGTACAACGTTGAGCCTGGCTGGCGGGCTTGGATGGGCTGCACTTGCAGCGTGTCTCAACATCAGTTGCACCCCAGTCAACCTATGCTTCGAGAAAGTGTGAGTGTTCGTTGCTACATGTTGGGTAAACGGGGGGGTTGCCCGGACTGCAACGTGCAAAGGGCCAGAAAGCAATGCGCTTTACAGGGCTTTTGGGTTTCTGGACACTCAACTTATCGTCAAGACTCCAAGACGATAACTTGAGTGCATTTTTAAGACCATCCAAAGACCAGTCGGTCTCATGCGCCACGACACCAGTCCTCTTCCCAATTGAGCCATGACAGCTCACTGTTTGAGCTGGCGGACAAGTGTCTTGCACAGTCTCTCTGTGTATTTTCACAGCCTGTAGCATTGAGTCCAACCCTGGATGTTGGCTGAACCACAATGCTGCGAGGCCTTCAACGTGCTCTCGTTTGCAGCTTCGTATCGCAACGCCCAAAAGCGCAACGCGAAGATCAAATTAACCGCGAATGCAACGTCACGACGCCGGCAAAGAAACGTGAAGTTCGGTTTGCGCAACTAGTAACACGAACGAAACTGTTCCTAGCCCTCACCCCCCCCGCCAGAACCCTGTTCCGTGGTGGGAAACGTTTGCTTTCCGGGCAACCCCCCCGTTGACCATGTTGCTACGCCACCAGATCAAAACCGATCCGCCACAGCGACAATCCGCCAGATTCGTCAGATATCCAGCTTGCCTGGGAACAGGTCTGCGCTGCTGGGGAACATAGATCTTCGCCAGTTTGGCCTCAAATGGTAAAAAATCGATGTCAGATCAGGGAAACCAAAAAAAATACAAAACTAGAAAAAAAACACGCCACCGCAACATTCTTGACATCAATGCTTTTGTACGTAGTATGAAGGAGTCCAACACGTGGCGCTACATTAATAGACTTCTTGTGGCAGCGCCCTAACAATAAGGCTTGCTCTACTTATCTTTGCCCATGCACGAAACAGGAGCAACTCATGCGGGACGGCGTGCTCGAACTGGACCCAATATCAATGTCTCGATCGATTTGTTGATCCTTCGCCACTTGGGGATGGGCGGAAGTTCCTTCGACCTTTATATGTTTAGACTCGTCTGGGTTCCAAAGAGAACCTCCAGGTGCCATACTTAGCAGTCCCTGGGAGTTGGAGTGTCATTCAGTGACTTGTGAAGCAAAAGTAATGCGTTTCTTTATATTACTAATAGCGATGCACTTGTATCTCGTAGCTTCTAGTTACTAGCAGTAGTGCACTTGTTACTACTATGTGTCTTTCTACATCTTCGATTCTTGAACACACTGATGGAAGGCTGGATCGTCCATAGGGCTGAGAGTTGGGCTCGTACAGCCAAGAACTCCCTGCGCTCTTCGGCTGTTTTCCGCTTCACTTCCTGATGGAGGTCAACTGCAGGTGTCTGAAGTCTGTGAGAGTCATGATATCCTGCCTTGACATTGGCCCAAAACTTAGAAGCACTCCACCGGCCAACCACGCACTCCCCCCCGTCCATACAACTGCAAGCTAAACCGCACTAAGAGCGATGGCCTCCACCCTAAGAGCGATGGCCTCTAACCTAAGAGCGATGGCCTCCAATCGAAAAGCGATGGCCTCCAACCTAAGAGCGATGGCCTCCAACCTACTAGGGATGGCCTCCACCCTAAGAAAACAAACGAAGTCCAGTATCCCAGACAATTCCAAAAAACCCTGGGCCTCGGGTGAGGCGACGGAAATGACCTGGGAGTCTGCTGCAATTTGGTCAGGCAAAGCTGTGAAGCTCGCTCTGAACTGCTCGTTTACCCAGAGAATTTCGATTCTTTGAAGATGTTTGAAGATGTATGATGATGCTTTAAACATGGGGTGTTGCAGGCATGTGTCTTGATGTTTCTTGCCTGTGTCTTTTACAGAGAAAAGGAGACTGCATGTACCAACTTGGATAATTTCCAGACCACATTTTATGGGAAAGGAGCTATCGCAGCTATCGCAAAAGCAGGGTGAAAGTCTGGCATTGTCCAGGAACCTGAACTTAGAGTTCTCCATGCACAAAGTATTAAACATCAAGTTGTCATCCACAGCTTCAGTCAACATAAGGTAGGAAGTACTCTGGGAGTGAGGAGTCGATCTCCGCTTGGCTGATTCATGCCTCTTTGAACATTGCCCCTCCCTGTCTTTGACCCCCAAGCTGGAGAAACGAAAGTAGAAAGGATTCTGTCACAAACTGTGTGGGCTCCAGCCGTTCCCTCCAGCCGGCGCGCCTGCATGGCCGCGTGAAGATCCTCCTTGGAAGGCTTCCGGTCCAAAGCCTCGGTCCGGAGACTCCGGGGGTTCGCCTTTCTCGGGTTCCCTTCGGTCCGGATGTTTCCCTTCCATACCATGTCTTCATACCCATCAGGTCGGCCCTGACCTCCATTTCCTCCAGCAAGTGAAGTGCCCAGGCCTCAGCAAGACTTGTCTGTAGATGTTGCATCACCATAAACCTGAAATGGACATGAACACATTATATAGCTTTATTGAGAAACATCAAGCCTTGGAGTCCAGACCCAAAGAAGGCTGCTGCTGGAGATTCCGCCCAGGGCTGTCTGGTAAAGATCAGCTGAAGGATCGAGCCCTTAGGCATGTAAGCACTGATGCACATCAGGAGGATCTCTTGAAAGCAATCAGTTCTGAAATATTGCCCGACATGACGACGACTCTGACTATGTAGATTCAAGATGTTACTGAAGGTGTCCACCCTACATTGCAACATGTTCGTGCGACGTACTCTTTCAAATGACACAGCCAACATGTGTTGCCAATGCTGCTGGGGGATGACTGCCTTAAGGGTCGAAGGCCCTAAAGCATAAATGATCATAGATGTGTCCACTAAAGAGTGGGCGCTCTGTCTTCTCACACTTCCATTCCTTTCCAGCCCACTTTGATGATAGCAAGTTGCAACACGTCCAACTCTGGCAGCAAAAACGCTCGATGAAACTTCTGGTGCTATCCAGGAAGATGGCAAACACAAGTCAAAAATTCCCAAGAAAGTTTTGTAAGAATATCTAGTATTCGGCTATGGCATGCTATGGCGTAGAAATGTCTAGAACCAGGGTAATTGCACCCCAAGCCCGTGTGGTTTCAGGAGAAGTTTTGGCAACATGTCGCTAAATTCTTACGGCCAGTTCATTGGAATTGTCCACATGCATGTATGATGTACATGAATGTCTCAGAAAAAACAGATTCCTCGCATGACGGTGGTCGTCCAGCGTTGCGAGTGCTACAGTGTGCTACAGCCTTCGTCCAGCAGTTGTTTTCTTCCAACTTATGCAACAAAAAGGAACCTAATAGCAATGGCCTCCAGCCTCAAACCTAATAGCAATGGACCTAATAGCAACTTTTCTTCCAGCTTATGTCTTACAGCAAGACTTCAGACCCTGTCCACACCCCGAGTCATGCGATCGAGACGGTCCTTCCATGCCCACTTCCCCCAGAGCCTTCCCAACGATATCAAACGACATGTATGTAAAGGTTGTGTACATGTCAGGCTTGGTGCATGGCCATGGTTCACTCTGTCTCACAACCACAACACGGGCGACTTCGGCGCAATGTCTCTGGGCTCTGCGGCGCCACGTTCCGGACAGGCTCAAGAGGCGAAACACCTGCCGCCAATGGGCTGACATCACTTGGATGCTTTGGGATGATGAGCATTACCTTGGCAGACTGTCGCTTTTTGGAAATACTATACTGCCCCTACAGAGGTGGAGAGAAGACTTCTCCGTGCTTCCTAGAAGTAAGTGGTTTCTGCTATTGGTGTGCTCAGCTTCGTGGATCTTGGATGATCCTGGAATATCCTGGAGCTTCACCTGCAAAGGACGGCGGTCATCAGCCTCAGCTTGAAGAGTTTGAACAAGAACTGCACGGCTAGCGTAAAGTTATGGCATAGAGGTTTCTGTAGGGTTTAAACATACGCTTGTTGCAACAGAAGCCACTTATTCTGCGCACATTCCGTTCCATTCACGCCGAGGCCTGGGCGTCTGTCTCCTGGCCCAGCCACGTTCTTCTGCTGCCTGGGATGCAAGGCATAGCCGTGCAGGATTTGCCGTGAGGTGAAAAACACCCACTACAGGTGGTCAGTCTCATCTCCACCTCTGTGTCCGAGCACGATGGATGATTCCAGTGTTTCCACCAGTTTGCGGATGCTTTTGGACCACAAAGCATCGTCTGAAGATACTTTAGGCAGTAAGACCAACTGTGAGCCAGCAGCTTTGGCATGCTGGCTCGAGTTGTTGCATGCGATATCCTCGCAGTACTGCAGCATGCGATATCCTCGCAGTACAGAACATGCCACAAACTCAATAAAACTCAATACGAGCAAAGTCCGACACAAATCACAGCACACCTCTCATGACTTGGTCAATTCTGTGGCTGGTCAATGCGCTACAAGGTGTCGTGAAGAATCTATCGAGTTTTGGGCGGGCCATAGCCAAGAAGATCGTCCAAATAGCAAAAGAATTGATGGAAGCAACAGTCTCTCCGGTGGTGATGGAACTCATGGCGATAGGCACCACCCAGAATCTTGGGACAAAGGCGATGCGTTGACCATGGTAGATCCAAGCCTGAATGTGCTTCCGAGAGGAGATAGGTTACCAAGATGTTGTGAAGCAAGCGGCTCATCTTGTGTTTGGGCAAACCTGCAAAAAGCGGGAGGTTTTGGACGAGAATGTTGATGAGGACTTGCATGGTTCCATCTTCCAATGATTGATTCACCACCAGCTCTGGGGCAAGGAAGCTGGTCCCACAGATGGGATGCACCTCGACGGTTCAAACGCTTCGGTGTCAACAAACACCGCGGTTTGGAAGCCACAAGAATGGTGCGACGTGCTCCCATGCCTGAAGTAACAAAGAGTAATTAGGTCTATGTCTATGTTACTTTAGTGAGACATAGTTTGATACAAAATGGACTAGGAAGATACCTGTGGCACCTGCAACATGTGCAACATTCATGGAAAGGCATCCAAGAGATCACACCCTTCACCTTTTGCTTTTCAATCTTGATTTCCCAACATCATGTCTGAAGCGTGCGTTCATTGAATGGTCACCAACACAACATACAGGCTCTGTGCTGCACCTTGTTTGCTTCCCTTGAGCAAAGAGGTTTGTCCAAACAACTGTACTTGCATTCTCCCCTTCTTTCCCAAGAATCCTTCGCTCAGATGTGCAATATGAAATGGCCACCACAAGGACATTCTCCGTTCAAATCCTGGACCTGGGGGTTGGGGCCACATTGTTCAGTGGTGGCCCAAATCTCAATATTGATGAGACGAAAAAGACCCCCAAACAGCCACGCACCTTGCGTGGGTGAAACCACTGAAAAGAACAGGCGCCCGCCTTGAGCTCGTGATGGATCTCATGCTTGTGCCAAGAGTTGGGGAATTTGTGCATGGCCAGATGAAGCCAATAGAAAATGAAGTCATAAGCCCAAATTCCCAGGATCAACTCCGAAAAGAGTCGCAAGGTGGATGGAGCTTCGCTCTGCACCTTTGGGGCCGACTTCACAAGATGAAGGGCAAAGATGGACAGGACATACCTGGCAATGAGGGCGAAATAGGGCGAAGGGTGAAGCCGCGGAGCCAGTTGTCAGGTGGGGGAACATGGTCTCGGAAGGCTGTTTCAGGGGTCCAAGTTTACAGTGTAGAGTCTACAGTGTGCAGGGGTTGCAGAAGAGTAGGCCTCTCCGATCGTTGGACAGGCTAAACGGTTGTATTTGAAATCATATTTTTCTTTCCATTGCAAAACAAGATGCACTGGGAAGGATGCCCATACTCTGTGCTTCGTCCTGTCGGTCATGCAGTGGGTGCCGATGGGGTGCGACTCCTCCCGCACCACCATACGATAGCCTTTCATTGATGGAATCTCATTCAGCAAAAAGAACCAGGAGATCCAACCCACGAATGATACTGCCGCAACCAGTGCTTCTATCATCGCCCAGTGTAGCGCTGGCCACGAATGCAGCTCTTGCCAAGTTTGGGCCACCATGGTGTCCAAATTCACTGCGCCAAAGCAATGGAGAAGAAACATGAAGGGCAAAGTACATTGGCAAAGCCTGGTCATCACTTTGGACCAGAAGCCATGATGTGCATCTGCCAAGCTAATCGAGCTTGGCCGCCAGTTCCCCACCTTCGCCTTTTTGGGCACCTCTAGCGAGCGGAAATCGATCCCCATGGCACCGGCACTGAACCGATCCGCTGTCAGCCCAAGAGTCTGCAGCGAGGTGGAGATGATTGGTGCAAGAATCCCATCTTAACGCCAATCTTAAGTCTTAGCAGGTATGAGAAACCTTAAACTTAAAGAACCTCAACAGGTTATGTCTACGTACCGCACAGTATTGACTGCTCTGGCCAAGCACCGAAATGAAGTCACATAGATTCACATAGCACACTTTGGGAAAATCTCAAAGGCCAGACCTTTCATACAAAATATTACAAAATCCTCCTCACGTTTGTCATTGTTTGTCGGCACAGCCTGCGTCACAGGCTGCCATGGCACACCCAAGATTCTCGGCTGTGACTTCAAGGCCCGAGCCTGGACACCAAAGGGGTCATGATGGATCTGTCAAGGTCCAGTTGATGATCACAGTTTCACATATCATGGTGGTCCCGTTGTGTTCAATTTCATGTCATGTCTGAAGAAGGATCATCAAAGGGTGTTTGGCACTTGGTTGTTGTCATCATGCAGCTGTAGAAGTCAGAAGTCGTTTTTACTTACTGTAACACCTCAGCGCGCTGGCTGGAACATGAAAAAGGACAAACATGGAGCAAAATTTGAGGGCAGCAACTCGCCCAGCACATGGCCTCACATGTCCTAAGATTCTGGGCTTCTCAAAGACAAAGATCGTATGACCATCTGTTCAGAGTCTGCGCCTCGCATCTTTGCCAGCACTGCTAGCCTCATGCGTTGTGGTACGGTAGGGTTCTAGGGCCTATGGGAAGTCATCAAGTGCAGGATCGTTCGACATTCGTTGAATGGGCCCCATTAAACGCGATCACTCTTCTGCAACTGAGATAGGGCAGGATTTTCGACAACAGAGCTGTGCAAAGGTCTAATTTCTTGTCTACCTGTACCTGTCTACCTCTTCTCTTCCATCCTGCGCTCTGCTGCAGGAAGTATTTTTAGGAATTCTTGGGGTAGCTGAATTTAGCTGCCCAGTACAGCTTAGTTGTTGCAGAGTTTCCTTCTTGGCCAGGTGACGAGTCCTGCCAAAGGGGTGCATGGGCCGCCATCGCCGCCAGCAAAGCACTGCCTGACCACGGCCGCGGCATCGATTTGATGCGGCATCGATCCGCGCTGGTCAGAAGCCGTTGGTTCGGGTACTTCGGTCTACTTCGGTCTACTTCCGTTGACTCGTTCGGCAAAACGAAGCGTTTTTGCACCCGTTTTTGGATCAGTCTGAGAATGGCCCGTTGACTCCAAGGCTTGAGGCTGATACCAAGCTGGGAGTCCAGTGTGATGTTCAGTTGCTCCACATCTGCAAGCTTCGCAGCCTTGAGATGGTGTGATCGAAGGTCTGGACGTCTGTGGACGTCTATGGACGTCTTTTGGTCTGGCCATATCTGGATCCACAACCTGAAACAAACATCCATTTCAGAAGCTCTTCATTCTGCTTTGCTGGTTAGCTTTGGGTTTCAACCCCTGTGTTTGCTGGACTTTCTTCAGCTAAGATCCCTTGCGGCTGCACAGTCCCCTGCTTCCGCACAGGTCTCAACCTTTGGGCAGATGGGACATCGTAATCGTAGCAAACACATGAGCCCCTAGCAGCTTCTTGCTCCAGGAGCTCCTAATAGCTTCTTGTTTCTAGTACGTAGCGATGGCCTCTAACCTAATAGCAAATATTATCAAACATTGTTTCTCACACAATAAGTGCGTAGAGTCGTAGAGGCCTTCGCTCAAATCTGTACATTTCTGGAGAAGTGTTGCTGTGTCCGGACGTTGCCAGCAACCATGATTTCAAACCCCAAAGAGCAATTGCCTACAACTCGCGGATCGTTTTGACATCCTGAGCACCATCCGGCGAACTGTTCGAGCTTCTGTGGCTGAGCATCGTCAGGCCTGTGCTCTCTCATCAGGGCAGGGTTGTGAAACACCCTCAGCCAGTGGCATACCTGCAGTTTCCTGTGGATTGCAAAGAGCCACGATCACCTCAGAGTTTCTCAACATGGGACTGCAATGACCCGGAGGTTCTGCAATGTCTCTCAGGCCTCTACGGCCAGTTTCACAAAGACTTGCATCATGACCAATACATATACAATATATTAAATATATATATATATATTATATATATATATTATATATTTTGCAAATAGAGATCCATGTTCAAGAGCTCAGAAACTCAAACAATGAGAGCCAAAGCTTGCGCCATCTTGTGCCAAGACACCCCTGCCACAATTAGGGAGCCTCCAAAAAGCTGCAGCCACTGCGCAGCAGGGTACTGTGACAAGTACTCTGCGGAGACCTCTCGTCGAAATCCAAGATGTACAGAAATCATTAGAGTGGCCAGTCGGGGTGGTTTGAAGACATCTGGAGCGACTGTGGAAGAGTTTCAGAGGCTAGGTCGAGATTTGCTTCACAAAGCCTTGGAGATCTACTGGCGTTATCAGCCTACCTAGGCAAAGGTACCTGCGACAGGACAACAAAACCACGATCAAAATATGGGGTCCTATCAGTTCCAAGCTCCCAGTGTGGATTTCAATGACTGAGGCGTTGCTACAGTGCAAGTCAAAACATACTTGGACCACTTGGCTCAGTAACGTAATCCTTCCTGGACTCACAAAAATGCTTCCCGGACTGCTTGTGCCAAGTTGACGACCATCTCCGGCACCACCCTAAAGGCTCAACCAACCAGATTATCTTGTAGGGTGTGAATCTTGAATTAACCACACCTGTGGCAAATTCTTGCGGTGACACTCGACTGCGGTGATTCGAAGCGACCAGTTTCTGCGGCCTTCAAAGTCAAAACGGCCATCAGTTGCATGCAGGTCCGGGAGGAGCTCAGTGCGGCTGCACGAAGGCTCGTGCGGAAGACCTGGATGTACTGGATCAAACAAGATAAGTCGTAAGGCTCCCGTTGAACCCATCATTCCTCTTTTTTTGGAAGGAATTTGTGTTGATTTCAGGCTACAATTCCACAACGTTGCTCACATTCACATCAGGTGGATTTTCAATGTCGCAAGTTACAGCAGCACGCCAAATTCATTGTCATGAGCGAAGGATGTTCCCCTCCCCATTCAGTCACACCTCCAGCGCCCACATCACAGCTCCCTGTCGTGTGGCGAGGGCAGCTTCTCGGCACTTGGTTTCATGAACAGCTTGGCTCAACTTCAGAGCATGATGAAAGTTCAGGGATATTCAGGGTGTGTTTATGCTGTTGATGCCCCACTCTTGAGCATTTTGGGGTCTCCAACACGGAGACAGGGTATTTCTGCAAACAATTCAAGCGAAGGTCAGAATAAGTCAGAATGCTCACAGCTCAATGTGCCAGTAATACCTGCATCTTCAAACGGCACTAATTTTTGCCGGAGACACTTTTCATCATTTTTCAGTGAAAAAACGTCGCAATCAAAAATCTTGCCGCTTTAGGGGGTGCAAACATGTGCTAAAAATCCATGGACGCAATTTGGACAATGTCGTTTGGAATGCTTGGACGCCTAAAAAGTTGGTTCTTTTTGGCTTCTGCCGGTTTCCGTCTGGTCACAACAACAAACGCCGTCTTTAGGAAAACATGCTGTAACGGCATCTCTTCTTGCAAAGGCGATGCTCTATTTTATATACCGCTTCGAAGATCCGGGCATGTCTATAAATTGTCTCTATGTATTTTATATTATTTGTTCATGAAGCCAGGGAATTAGCAGGTCCACTCGCCAGGCCAAATCCCAATGCCCTGCGGAAGATTCCTGACTCACACATCTTCACTGATCCGTTCGGCCCGCCCAACTTGTTCGCACGCCTCCCAAGCAAAGCTTCGGCAACTCGCTGCCAACCTGCACGTGGCCAAGCCCATGGTGTTGGCTTCCCTCCCACAAAATCCTACAAGCGGCCTACTATGTCAACCCACGTCGCATGAAGTCAACTCACTGCATGGGCACAAGGTTTCAGCGAGAAGTCAACCCACTCGCGTGAAGTCATCTTGGTAAAAGCACAGTGGGCACCATTGAAAAATGAGCGCGGCACGAAAACAACAATTTCAAGCAAAAGTGTCACACTGCGTTATGGCTGGCACTTTTGTCTTGCTTTCTAGATGCTTCGATCCCAAATCTCAATGGCACAGCACCATTCAAACCTATGCTCAACTTAGAGAACAGGTTTTATGATGTTGCATGCGCGCACACACACACACAAGTGACATGTCCAGACCATTCCAGACCAATGTAGGCCTGGTTTTCCCTACGGTCAACGAAGACAAAGATTGAAAGATTTCCCAACCATTAGTTGTCAAAGCTGTCCCAAACCCTTGACCCTCACCCCTGTGATAACTGCCCCCCCAAGAACAGAATAAAATACAAACGAGTGACAATCAGGCACATAATGGGCACAACGCAAAAACATGTGTCATAGATCAATACTATCTGTGTTAGGCATCCCTGTGGAGTGCAGTTCTGCAAGGGCACACGAACCCGAGTCGACTCTACACAAGCTTAACCCGAGTACCTAGTAGGTGTTCAATTTGTTTCGGACTGAAGGCTAGGCCCTGCCAGGTTGGAGGCATGAGGAAGAAAAGTGTATTCTTACATTACAACATGACTCGTGATACAATGTGGTTCAGCTTCTGGGTGAGTACTTGATTTGCATTGATTTCCCCTGAATAAAATTTACACCTTTGACATCCTTTGACAACTTCACTTAAACTCATACGACTTGCTACAAACCTGGAAAAAAAAGAAACATGTACTTGGCAGCATGGCAGCATGGCGTTGAACTCGAAAACAACAAAAGAACAAATACAACGGTACCTTCTCTGACTTCTCTGGCCAAGCAGCACCCCCAAAAGGGACTGCAAGTAGATGCTATACGAACCAAACTTGTGGGCTTCTTGATGGACTCCTGAAAGCGGCTTAATGGTTAGTGAATGTCAATGAAGTTCACATCTGTTTCAGTGGCAAGAGTCTCAGCATGACATTTCCAGAACCTACGCGCCTGCCAAGAGCATAAGAATGCTCCCCTGCAGGAAGAAACCTCGCGGTGTCTCTGAGCAAAACCATGAAAACAGGTGCCTACTTCCATCTTCAATCCAAGTTCAAGCACCATAAAGTTGAATTATCATCTCATTCCAGAGATCGTTTTCCATTTTCTACAAATCACATTTCACGCTTTGGTGGCATGGCAGATGTGGCAGTAGCTCTTGCCACCCTGCCTACAGCGAAACCTCCCTTTCTTCCGATGAGGTCGATCACACAAACAGACACGGCCTGACAAACGACCCAACATGGATGACATGGATGGAATCTCGTTGCTTCTGTTGCTTGGTCCCATTGCTTCGCCCCGTGGGCAAATCAAAGCGTTTCTTCTGCCCCGAAAGTAACGCTTCTTCTGCAAAAACATTGAAGCTAAGCCCGCGTCTAAGCCAATGAAGTCACCAATGTTGAACAGCATTAGAAGTCCATGAGGCAAAACCTCTGAGGCCAGTGAAAGATAGTGAAAACACACAAAACGAAGCATTCTAAAATTTTACAGTAAAGCTTGATAAGCTTGAGGGAGCCGAACATTCGACCCAAACTTGATCTGAAAAAGGCTACGCACTCTTCCTCCCAAGCAGCAATTCGATGTGGGAACAGCAAATGCTGATACATGAGCGGGCCCCAGGTA